AAGAGAGAGAGAGAGAGAGAGAGAGAGAGAGAGAGAGAGAGAGAGAGAGAGAGAGAGAGAGAGAGAGAGAGTGCTGAGAAGAATTACGCTTTTAGGATAATTTCCTGCTGATTAGAACAATGGATCCTTGGTGCTTCCGGTTGTTAACGAAGATAGTCACCGTCCATTCGTCCGCTAGCATCATCATCAATGGAAACCAATGGCCGCAGAAAGTCGCGCGGCTCCTGCATGTCTGACCGTTGCGTGTTCCTCGCACTCGAATTTTTACCTCTTCACTCTTTTTTTTTTGTTTTGTTTTTGTTTCCACTCGATTTCTCTGGAGGACCGAATATTGAAAGTCTGAGCCAAAAAAATGAAAAAAATGTGAAAAAAATAGAATTTGGTATTGCACAAGGGATATACAGCAATCCTCTGTTGCCCTCCGAGGGCCTACCTCTGTGAACTCGTCTCTCCGCCCTCTCTCTCTCTCTCTCTCTCGCGCGCGCGCGGGCGCGTTCTAATGGTGCATATAGATCCTGCACCAGACTGAGTCATCGTTAGGGTGTACTCAGACTAGTAGGCGTTTTCAGCATGCATCTGGCCTAATTTGTGACCAGAATTAGTCTCAAAAGTCTCAGGGCGACTATATTAGGCTCTTCTCAGTTACTCCGAAGTACCTCAAAAACATCTTGGTCCAGACAGAGGTACTTTTCAGTTTGCTTTTTTTTTTGTTTTTATTTTTATTTTTCTTTTTTTCTTTTCGATTTTAGCATTTCCATCTAACGTTTTATTTTTTTGCTCTCGAAGATCCACCTTCCTTTTTTAAGAAGTTAAGTTTTTTTCTGACGTCAACGGTCACCCTTCTGTTTTTTTTTTTTTTTTTTCCCGATTGACCACGGATCAGATATTAATGTGCACCGTTTGGCAAGCTATTCTTTTTTTTTCTTTTTTAATTATTATTATTGTTATTGTTGCTGAGCAATCTCCGTATATGGGCCTAGGTAGTTGTCCCACTCGCCATCCGCCAAGATTTTGAGTGCATCTGGATGTGCCCATGGTCTAGGTTCTTTCAAAATCTTGGCGGATGACGTGTGCTGCAACTAGGCCCTATGTGCTCTGTTTTGCTTCCCGTCATTTGTCGTACATCTAGTCGCCTTGATTCTAAGATGATTTTTTTTTTTTTTTGTTCTTTGTTGGGTTAATCGGAGAAATCGCTACGACATATTCGTGACAAGCAGCCCGTGCTCAGTCTAGACGAATCAATCCTCAGAGGAGTGAATATACTTAACTCAAAATTAATTAGTCGTGGATTTCTCCTGCGTCTCCCTTTTTTTTTTTATTTTTTTTTTTAAGATCGTATCTTTCACACAATTAAATGGTATTTCTGCTGCCTTTGACTCTCTCCTTTCCTTTTGTGAATTTCTGTGCGAATCAGATCTTCGTTAAGCCCCCCCCGTCTTCCCCCCTTAATCTTCCTCCGATCGGTTGTCAACATCTGGTAATCTCCCACAACTGTAGAGCACACTCACACTAGCAAAATCTTAAATGTATCTGACCGTAATTACAGCCCTCTACTTGGATGTATCTGACCGCAACTACGTGCATAAATAAGTGCAAAAGTCCTAGTGCGAGAATGTGCCCTTAATCTTCTTCCGATCGATCGGAAAAGATTGAAAATGAAGAAAATTTCGGAGGTGATCTTAAGTGTATCTGACCGTAATTATAGCTCTACTTGAATGTATCTGACCGCAATTACGTGCATAAATAAGTGTAAAAGTCCTAGTGCGAGAATGTGTCCTTAATCTTCTTCCGATCGATCGGAAAAGATTGAAAATGAACAAAATTTCGGAGGTAATCTTAAATGTATCTGACCGTACTTACAGCCCTATTTGGATGTATCTGACCGCAATTACGTGCATAAATAAGTGTAAAAGTCCTAGTGTTCCGATCGATCGGAAAAGATTGAAATTGAACAAAATTTCGGAGGAGGAGGGGGGGAGGAGGATTGAATTGTGCCCCACCGAAAATCCTAAACCTCCTTCCTACTTTCCGTCTATTGTGCATTCGTCAAATTTTATGATTTATTTAATGTTTTTAATTTTAATGTATGTATGTATGTATATGACTCTATTCTTTTTCCGGTCCTCACAAAGACATCGCAGGCGTTGAAATTGGAACGATACAGAGACGATTAATTGATTTTCTATAATTAACTCTAGTATATGGAATTGCGCAGGGCCGCCTGCGCAACTATCACCATAAGACCAATGAGCCCACGGTGACCTCAGTTGGTACTCCCACGAGTTGGTACAGACTCAAGTTGGGATCCAGATACATTTAGATGCCCAGAATAACATAAATGATTCTGAATTACTTGGGGCCGGTCAGCTTCAAAAATGATATCTTTCTCAAGCTCCTTGTATTCGAATTCAACGCATGAGGACAGTGATGTACTCTAAAGTGGGGGGAGGAGGGGGGAGGGGGGGAAGGGGGGAAGGTGGGGAAGGGGGAAGGGCCAGTTTCTTCCTCGTTTACCGGAGCAGAATGACTACCCATCTTCCCCCCCCCCCCCCCCGAATATAACGTATATGCGTTGTAAACGAATAGACTCCATAGGGTTGCGTTCTATGTGAATACGAGGCATGTGCGTTCTATTCGAACAGCTCCTTGTTTTCGAATTTCAACGCATATTATACGTTGTATTCGAATTTTCGGATTTTCGGAAGTTTCGAAAACTCGAATACAACTCATATGCGTTATGTTCGGGGAGAGACGGATAGTAGGCGGCAAGGGTGGGATCGGAAGCCATAACTCGTCTATATGTATATATATATATATATTCTTTGCGATGTACTTCGGTTTTTTTTTTTTTTTTTTTTTTTTTTTTGTGTGTGTGTACTCTATTTTGGAGTGAGACTAAAATTCGAGATCATGCACACATATATGTACCGTGCGTTTTTTTTTTTGTTTTTTTTTGGAAAAGGGATCGACATTTATTGACACCAACGCCGGGAACCGATCCCGGCGTCTCTCATGTGTTGCATGTTAAGGTCAGACTCGAGCCCGTAGTAAAAGATGAAAAAAAAACAAAACAAAAAAAAACAAAACAAAAAGACTCGTGCTGACTCGGCGTCTTCCACATAAAAGGATGAGAGACGAGACGAATAGAGAAATGAGCGTTTGTCCTCTCGTCCTTCAATCTTCGTCCCTTCGCTCTGAACTCCTTCTGTGTTTTTTTGTTTTTTGTTTTTTTTTTGGTCCTCGCGTCCTTCAATCTTCGTCCCTTCCCTCTGAACTTTTTTTTTTTTTTTTTTTTTTGTTCCCGTGTGGTCCGATGGACCTGATCAGATCTAAGCCAAAAGGCCGAGAAAGGTTCGCTCCGAGCTTTTAGACCGGCACGAGTTTCGGAGCTCAAACAGTTCTTTTTTTTTCTTTTTTTTTTAATGCCTTAAAAAAATGCTCATTACTCGTTCTTCCTTCATCAGTTTTGTCGGCGGTCCAGCACCGACCGTTTGCGTTCTTTTTATAAAAACAAATTGGATCATTTCTCGATTTATGCGTGTCATCCTTGCGCAGGGGCCATGCTAATCTTCTGTATCAAAAAAAAAAAAAAAAAAAAAATCTTCTCTGTATCGTTCCAATTTTAACGGATGTCCCGAAGGACAAGGACCGTTTGCGTTCTAGATTGCGAAAATTTTAGTGAAATCACTCAAATCCTCCTAATCAATCAAGCAGTAGTAGTAGCTAAAAAAGCACCACAAATTCTATTAAAAAAAGAGAAAGTAGCAATGTGATTGGGTCCGTTTTCCTTTTGCCGTTTTTTTTTTTGTTTGTTTCCCCATCGTTTGTTCGTCTTACCTGGCCCCAGATATGTCCGAGCAGATGTCCCGAATCTGTTATTACTGTTTTTTTTTTTCTTGTTGTTGTTCTCCTTTTCCTTGTTATGACTATGTTTCTATGCTTGGATGTTTAGCGATTGGCCTTGCTTGATATTCTCTCAATTCAATTTTCGTTTCGCAATTCAATTCTCAATCAATTCTCAGTTCTCAATTTTCCATTCAATTCTCAATCAATCAATTTTCAGTTCTCAATTTTCCATTCAATTCTCAATCAATTTTCAGTTCTCAATTTTCCATTCAATTCTCAATCAATTTTCAGTTCTCAATTTTCGATTCAATTCTCAATCAATTTTCAGTTCTCAATGTTCCATTCAATTCTCAATCAATCAATTTTCAGTTCTCAATGTTCCATTCGATTCTCAATCAATTTTCAATTCTCATTTCAAATCTCGATTCTTCTCCTGCTGCTTTGTCTGGTGTGTGTGCAGAACCTTCTCTGCTCCCAGGAGGAAGGAGGGATGGGCAAACGGACGGGGGTTTTCAAGGTGGGAGGAGGGAGGCATCAGAAGGGAGGCGGTGTCGATGATCATCATGACGATGGTTGTGCCAATCAACGCAAGGGAGAGGGTGAGCTGCCACGTGGCAGTTCTCGGGGTTGGCTAAAGTGGACCGATGCCACTGGTTCGAATAGAACAACGAGTGCTGCTGCTGCTGCGGCGGCGGCGGCGGAGTGTGCAAGTGGCAGCTCTGCCGGCCGATCCCACGAAACTGACGATGCTTGTGTAATTCTAACGGCTTCGGAAATTCTGCCACGTGGCAGCTCTACAACCGGTCGATCGCACGAAGCTGGCGACACTACCGGTAGTGTAACTCTAACGGCTTCGGAAAATCCGACACGTGGCAGTCCTTTAGGTAGCTTTCTGAAAGTAACTGCGAGCAACGTTGCAGCTGTCCATCGGACGGCGGAGAATTCTCCACGTAGCGATCGAACTACTACGCTGGTCTCGATCGATCCCGCATGTCCTATGAGGACGCCTGCCGCCGGCTATGCTAATCGAGCGGCGTACGAGCCTCCTTATGCTGGCGGTAGTTGTCCACCTGCTGCCTCGGAGGAGGAGGAGGAGGAGGAGGAGGAGTCTGCACTTGGCAGCTCCGCTGGCAGATCCAATGGAAATGGTAATGCTGGGCCCAAGCGCGCCGCCTCCTTGGCACATCCGCCGCCACGTGGTGGTCCCGGCTCAGGCAGGTGTCTAAGAGTTGCTGTGCTTCCTGCTGGTGGCACTAGTAGTGGCGGCGTCAATCGGACGGCGGAGGCGGAGGCGGAGGCGGCGGCGGCAGAGAATCCGCCACGTGGTGGTCCCGGCTGTCTGAAACGAACGGCTGCCACCGCCACCGACCGCGATGGCGGCAGCGGGGGTGTGAATCGAGCGGCGGAGAATTCGCCACGTGGCGGTTCAGCAGGATGTCTCAAGAGAACAGGTGCCGCCGATGCTAATCGAACGGCGGAAGATCCTCTGTGTGGTGGTGGTTCCGGCTGTCTCACAGGAACAGGTACCGCCGACCCAGATCGAGCGGTGGAGAGTCAGACACGTGGCGCTCCAGGAGGAGGATGTCTACATGGAGCCGCTCGAGGTCGTCAATCTACGACCGTCGAGCCGGGCGGCGTCGCCGACGGGTCGCCACATCCACCACATCCTTGTGCTCCTGCTGCTGCTGTGGCAATTCAGAAGCAAAACCACTACAACTTGCGGCAACAAGAGGCGCATCATCGGCACAACTTGCAGCTGAGTAAGACATACGCGCCGGTTCTGAGTAGGATATGGGCGGGGTGGCTTTCGAGGTTTCTATGTAGGGCGAAGGAGAGGAGCGACAGAAACCGCCACGTGCACATGGGAGAAGGGTGCATGGCAGGGAAAGGTTCGGGGGTCTTGCCGGATTTCGCTGAGGCCGCTCGATGCTTTGGCCAGGCGTCGCGTCAGGGGGACCCCACAGGTCACTTTTGGATGGGATGGCTCCACGAGGAAGGAAAAGGCGTCGAGAAGGATTTTTCAAAGGCCGTCAAGTTCTACAAGAAGGCAGGTAAGCAAGCGATCGATCTCTCGATCTCTTATCTCTTGCTCTCGGTTTTATTATGTCTCTGACCTTCGCCGATTTACACGTGGCTTTTGTCTATGTATCCACAACGCGGCCTACCTTCAAGAATCCAAACCAGCTCTCTCTCTCTCCTCCCCCTCCCCCCCCTCTCTCTCTCTCTCTCACACACACACACACACACATTCCTCATGAGTCGGTGACAGTCCGAGGAAAAACTCCGGGACAGTCATGCTATTTTGTGTGCTTTTTTGTGGAGTCGTGTATAGCGAACATGACAACACACACACACACACACACACACACACACACACACACACAACCTCCTGATGAGTCGGTGAAAGTCCGACGAAACAGTGTGGCACACTGATGCTTTCTTGTGTTGTATATAACGAACACACACACACACACACACACACACACACACACACAGAGACAAACAGAGAGCTGACCTCCTGATGACCGACGAAACAGTCTGGCACAGTCATGCTTTTTTTGAGTTTATAGCGAATATGGCAACACACACACACATACACAGAGCTGGGTACATCTCAGAGATACTGTCAAAGCCTGTTGAACTCGGAAAGAACCTGGTCCACTTAATCTATTTTAATCTTTGTCAATCTATAGATTCGTTTATCTGAATATCTGTTGAGAACCATCAAAGATAGTAGTTGTCCCGGTTTCCAGCACAAGCTGAAGCCGGGTAATGGCCCAGTAACCCGGGTACAATTGTGAGGTCCTTTTTATAAAAAGGAAAAAAACAGAAAGAAGATAGTAGTTGTGAATCTTTGCACATAACATGTAGATTGATGCGAGGGCCAGCAGCTGGGCTTAACTCCAGATGCGGGGGAGAAGATACAAATTTCTTTTTTTTCTTTTTCTTTTTCTTTTTCTTTTTCTTTTTCTTTTTCTTTTTCTTTTTCTCACCACTACTAGTTCTCCCGGGGAGGCTCCATCCATCTCTTGGTGGGGGGACCAGCACCTGCGGGAAAGCCAGTCCAGCGTCCCTCGACATTGCAGATGTTTGTTTGAATACACATGTAATTGTACTGATAGGAAACTGCAGGACTCACCCATAAGTAGAGGAATTTGGCTGGTGGAGCTACACTGCTGCCTGAGTCTCTTGCCTACTCGATATCCTTAGGGTAAGCGATAGTATACACTGATCTCATGGCTGTTTCATGGCTGTTTCAGGGAATGTTTCAGGGAATGTTGGATTCAGATCCTCTTTTTTTTTTGCTTTTTTTTTTGTAAGTGATCATGTACGACTTGTAGTAGTAAGATACAAATGTATCAATCATCACAACAACATACGTTCTCCACGTTAAGGCCAGGAGAGTCATAGGCACTGCTCGTCAGCGAGGGATTCCCTGGACACTCCCACGTGGTAAATCGCCAGCTTCACAACTTTTAAGGAAAATATAAGGGACAGAACAAGGTTAAAGAGAAGAAACCACAACAGCTGATATCCTTTCACCTATAGAGGCCCCACTCGTCCGCCCTCCCAGGTATCTTTCTTTGCTTTTGTTGTTGTTGGGGTACAAATTGGTTGTTTGTTCTTGGTTGTCGCTGATATTGGGGCGTGTGAGTGTTGGCGGGGGGGTGGGGGTTGCGTGTATGCGTGTCAGAACACGGTTTCATCCTGCAAAACTAAACCACCAATCCAGCGGCCTAGCTCAATTGGTTAGGCATGCAAGTGGCATTCAGGAGGTCGTGAGCTCAATCCCCATGGCCGCCTGGGTGCCCTTGGTGCCAACCATCTGAGATAGACAGCTGCATCCTTGCAGACGGTATTAGTAGGGTCTTCAGCCAACATGGGTGTGAGTTCGAGTGTGAGTGGGTTGCGTGTGGTGTGTCAGAGAGTGTTGGCCTTAGACACTGCTGTTACTCGATTGGGGTGGGGGAAGCTGAAAAGGAAGGCACAGCTACTGGCAAATGCTTGGTCCTTGTGTTAGCCGGGCCCCCACCGGCGGCCCCAACCCTGCACCCTGAACCCTGAACCACTAGGGCAAGGGTCAAACATGCAATTACCTCCCTCCACCGAGAGAGGTAACCTCCCTTCACCAAGAGAGGTAGATCACTATGATTGCAGGGGTACCCTGTATAGCCTTCGGAGTAGTGGTACATAGGTCGTGAAAGATGAAAGAATTTCCGTGAAGAATATAGTGTATTTTTTGAACCACCAGTACTTATGACCCTTTCTTTGCCGAGCCTAGAAATTGCCAAAAAAAGAGAATGGCACAATGCCATTTTTTTTTGGCTACTGCCACCAGCGCTTTAGCTCCTGTTGGCAGTGCCCAGCGGTGCATGCACAGCCACGTCGGAGAACTGGTGGAGGAAATCATTGAAAGGGGTGCAAGGTTCCCCATGGTCTCCCCTTCCCAAAAAAAGGCTTCTCCACATAGGCCGATCTTCGCCCCTAGAGCCAATGGCATGCCAACCACTCAGCAAAGTAGAAATCCAGCCTACGAAATTCCAATCTAAAAACCTTGAAAATAGAACAAAAAAAAAGTTCCTCTTGTCTGTACACTATTTATTTATAAATCAAAAATAAACAACCATTGATGATTGAGCCATCCGTATTAGTAAGGTCTTCAGCCAACACAGGTGTGAGTGCATGTGTGAGAAGGTTGTGTGTGGTGTGTGGGAGAGTGTTGGCTTTAGACACTACTGTTACTCGATGGGGGTGGGGATTCCGAAGATGAAAAGGGAGGCACAGTTACTGGCAAATTCTCAGTCCTTGTGTTAGCCGGGCCCCTACCAGCGGCCCCAACCCTGCACCCTAAACGGTAGGCGTCGCTAGCCTAAGGGCAAAGGGGCTGACATGCCGTTATCCCTCTCCACCGAGAGAGGTAACCTCCCTTCACTGAAGAGAGGTAGAAAGCTACGCTTGCTGGGGTCCCCTGCATAGCCTTAGGAGTAGTGGTAGGCTATGTGACACCCGCGGCCTAGGCCGCGGGCATTTCGGCCGCTGCGGCCGAGATTCTCGGCCGCGGCCGCGGCCGATGAGGCCCAGTCCGCGGCCTGGTTTTTCAATATTCCCCCCCCCCCCAAAAAAAAAAAACGTTAAAAAACAAATAAAAAATATGGGGGTGTAGGGCTTGAAAAACCCTACGCTCCTATATTTTTTTTTTTGGAATCCGACTTTGTTTAAGATTAAAAAAAAAAAAAAAAACTAAAATCGATTTAAACATTCTTTTGTTGTCCTCTTCTCTCTCTCTGCCTACGGTTTACCGGGCAGTTCTGTTTGTGACGATATATGCTACGACTTCGCTAGCTTCCTGCTACGGT